CCAAGCCGCTGGCCTCGCGAACAAAACCCAAGACCCCGACGTCATGATTAGCTCATGACGTGGCGGATTCCGGAAACCCGGACTCCAAAAAGATTGCCATATCTTGGGGCAACGACTTTTGTTTCTGCGGGCTTCCGCCGGCCTCCCTTTTTTTTCAACGCGACTCCCACCGCCTCGGAAGTTTAGCGGGGGCTCCAGCACAGCCGCGACAACGACGCGGCGCGTTTCCAATCCGAAACGAAGCCCTGAAAACGGACAGCGGGCGCGGAGCGGCAGGCCGACAGGCCTCAGCCCCGCGCCCCGCGCACCCCCGCGCTTGCGGGGGCGGCGCCTGCGAGGGCGCCGCCCCCCCCCCCTGGCGGGGGGGGGGGGCGCAAAAAGCCCCCCGCGCCGTTAGCGCGGCCCCCGTCTAAAATCTTTCTCGAGCTGCGTCTGCGAGGCGGGGGGGGGGGCGAAAGGAGAGGTGGAGGAAGAAGAGGGAAGGTTCTCGGCGGCAGCGGCAAACAGGCCTCAGCCCCGCGCCCCGCGCACCCCCGCGCTTGCGGGGGCGGCGCCTGCGAGGGCGCCGCCCCCCCCCCCTGGCGGGGGGGGGGGGCGCAAAAAGCCCCCCGCGCCGTTAGCGCGGCCCCCGTCTAAAATCTTTCTCGAGCTGCGTCTGCGAGGCGGGGGGGGGGGCGAAAGGAGAGGTGGAGGAAGAAGAGGGAAGGTTCTCGGCGGCAGCGGCAAAGCCTTGCAACTCACGGGTAGATGCTAGTTGCGGGTGCTGGCGCCCATTCTGTCGTCGGTGCTGGCGTAGGCGTCCTCCGCCCCACTTCTTCTTCAGTTTCTTGCTCTAGTTTGCCAGCGACTCCACCACTTTGGCCGCCTTCGACCTCATCGCCATGTCGTGCTGGGGGCTTGCGCCCACTGCGGCCGGCGCCCCCTTCAGCGCCTCCTTCAGCACCTCCTTCAGATTTCGGGTAGTGGTTCACCGCGAAGATCCACGTGAGCTCGCCCTCCACGGGGCCTCCCACCTCGTTCTTGCTCTTCTCCTTGAAGCACCTCGTCGCCGCGAACTTTTGCTGCTGGTCCTGCGCCATCGCCCCGTAGCGCAGGAGCTCGTCCATCGCGGCCTTGGATCCCGTCGGCTCGATGCCCTGCGCGGCGGCCGCCGGCGCCGCCTCCGTCGTGCCCTCTGCGGCCTCCGCCGCGCGGAACAGGACTGCTCGCGCCTGTGCGTCTGGCCGCTTGCCGAGCAGGTTGCCCAGGAAGACCTCCTTCTCCATCGCCTTCTCCTTGGCCTCGGCGCCCTCGCCCACGTAGTGCGCCAGAGCCTGGTCGAGTGCAATCGCCATTTTCTGCGACGGCTCGGGCGGAATCGCGAAGTTGTCGCGGAGTGCCGCCCTCGCCATGTCCTCGCGTTGCAGGGCCAGGCGGCCGAGCGCCGTGCCCAGGATGCCCACCGCGTCGGGCTGGTCGCCCTTGCCCTCGCCCCCGACCCCTGCCTCGACCGCCGTCCTCCTGTTGGCGCTGCTGCCCGCCGACGCCTGCACCTCGCTGTTCAGCTGGAACATCGCCGGCAGCAGCTGGGGCGGGCTCGACAGAGGAGGCCGCGGGCGCTGTTAGTTCTGCAGGTCTGGTTTGAGCCTCAACTTCACTAGAACGGGCCGTGCAGCGTTTTTCTTTAATGTGCCTCACCAGCGTGTCTTTTTCTCGTGAAGGTCTTCTGGCAATGGGGGCATCGCTCTTGTTTCAGGTCCGTGTCCGCGAGGGCTTCGGCTGCTGGGTTTGCATATACTTTATGAGCTGCATGTTCGTGGTTGGCTAACCCCTTTTCCCCATTGCATTTTTGACCACGCACGTCGCATTCCAGCCACGCGATGGCTGCAGCATCAGTCACAGCGTTCGCCTCGCCGCCATGCGTCAGCACGCGGCGAAGGCAGCGCGGCTCAAGGGCGGCGAGCCAGCGCAGCCGCGGCTCGGCCAGCTCGGGAAGGTCGCCGCGGAGCTGAAGGAGCCGACGGGCAGTGAGCTTCCCCTGCGCGTCCGCGGTCTGCCACATCTGCCGCATGTCGTCCAGTAGCAGAGTCAGCGTGCCCGACTGCCCCCTATGGCCGACCCTCTCAAACGAGAATCGGCCGAAGATGACCGCCCTGACCGCCAGCGTCGGGTCGTGCAAATCGTCGCTGGGCTCCTTGAAAGCAGGCCACAACACTTGTTGCCACCACCTCAACTTTCTCAGTAGCAGCGTGCTCGTAGCATTCGGAGCACGGGCCCACTTCCTGCTCTCTCGGCTGGTATTCTTATACAGGTGGGCTGGCAAATTCAACAACCCACGAAGCTTCTTCACCTGCCAGCTCTCCAACTTGTTCAAGCCCCGCTTGGCGAGGTGTGCGACCTCCACGCAGCGCAAGCACACCGAGCGGACAAGCACCTTCCACAATCTGATCTTCAACTTTGCACTGGGCCCACTCTTGAACGCACGGCGCAGCAGGCGAGCGTGAGTAGAGCTAGCTGCCCTGATGCGGTTCGCGACCTCCACGTGGCGGGTGCCCGTCGCCGCCAGTTGCACCCTTAAGTACTTGACCGTCGGCTGCGGGTGCAACGGGAAGTAGTCATCGTCTCCCCACGTCACTATGCCCGTAGTTTGTGCTCGAATATGCTTCAACCTTTTCTTGCTGCTGACCTCCGAAGGCGTGAGCAATATCTCGGTCTTCCCCCCGTTGACTCTCATGCCGCCCGCCTTGATCTCACCCGTCAGTACTTCCAGGATGATGGATGCATCGTCGTACTCCCCGATTCCAACGAATGTGAGCAGATCATCAAAGAACTTCAACTGAGAGCCGCCCAAAGCCTCGCACCCGTCCTCTTTCAAACTGTCGTTTCACCTGATCGTCTTGAGTGGGGGGTCGTAGTGCACCTTGATGGCTGGATGCTCCAACTGTTGTAGCTGGTCCGGTCCCCGATATACAATCCCATCATAGACCGCCACAAACAGGCCTAGACTTTCAACACCTCCTTGTCGCACGCCTTGCTTGGCCCAGATCCGAGCAACAGGCGCATGAATGGTGACATCGCGGAACAGGTTGCACATGCCCTCATGGAGCTCCTCCAGGGTCGCACGAGCATCCCATCGTAATTCAAGCGCCTCCAAGCTTTGCCAGATATCCTGGCGTACCACCGCGTCGAAAACCTTCTCGATGTCCGTGGGGACTGCCAACAACACAGGAGGTGGGGCTGAAGTGCTTCCTCGTCGCTTGGCTCGGTGCTCTCTCTGATGTCGAACAACCACTTCGACTGCCACTGCCACCGCATCTCGCGTACCCCGTCCAGGCACAGCTCCGAACTGCGTTGGTGAAATATTGTGTTCCACCTCCCGCATCGCGTCAAGCGTGGCGACCTTGGCGCACGCCTTGCCGACGTGGTTGATCAAGCTGATGGTACGGTAGCCCGTCGATGCCGTGCAGCCGTCGCCTTTCGGTTTCCTCAACTGCATGGTCTCACCATCCTTGAACCTCTGAGGTGCGTCGCCCAGCGCCTGCGCCGCATTAGAAACCTGCAAGAGTGGCGGCGCGAGCGTGTCACTCGCCAGCTTCCAAGGCTCAGCAACAGCTCCCCCAGGCGGCCCCCTCATAGGCCACTGCAGCATAAGTCCCCTCTTCAAATTGGGCAAATCCATGGTACTCTCCTTCACCTCCGCAAGACCATAGCTGCTGATCCTGTCATCATCGCGCTCCTTCCTGCCAGCTTGAAGGGACCGCTCGTCAACACTCATCGCCGCGCCGTCGCACACGTCGCAAATGCTCTGAATACGCACTCTCTGGTCGTCTTCAGCATCGAAACGCGGCAGCCCCGTGTGCAAGTCCTTCGCTGTCATGATTGGCGCCGCTGGTTTCGGGGCCAACTTATTCACGATGGTGTGGAGCCTCCGCAAGTTCCTCTGGCCTGCTGCTCGCTCCGCCTCGTCAGCCAGCGCCGCCGCCCGCTGCCGCTTCTCACTCCTGATCGCCGCCGTCGCCAGCTTCGCCGCCTCGTTGAAATGCAAGTGGAACTGTGCCCGCACCCACCGAGCACCGTCAGGAATAGTTGCAAGCTGATGTTGCCAGTAGTGCTTTGCTTTAATCAGTCGTACCGTCTGGTCGCTGAACACTGGCCCGTCCACTCTTCCCGTCGCTGGTGGCGAAATGTCGTCCTGCAGCGCCGCCTCGATCACCACGCCCTCCAGCCCATTGAAGTACTCAGTGGGGGACTCGTATCGCCTGCCATTGCCGCAAATGTCAGACCAGTCATCCTGGAACCCCTTCGCCTCGATCGCTTCAAGCACCTTCGCCCGAAAGTTGAGCAAGCGGCTGGGGAGCTGCACCTGCTTCCGCCGGCGGAACCGCCCTCGTTTTACTCCCGCCGCCTTCCGCCGACCTTTCGCGGCCTTCCGACGAGGAAGATATGACAACTCCTTCGATCCTCAAAGGGGAGGCCTGCTCCTTCTCTGGAACGCTCCACGTAGACCCCAAGCGGTCTGGACCCATTCCCCGGGACCGGCTCTTCATCCCGAGTCGGGTTCTGACGGCCCCATGGGGCCAGCATGAGGGCCCCCAGAGGCCTGAGTTGGCGATAACCTCCGGTTGTGACATTTTCATGACCCCATGGGGTCTGGGAAACCTTCGGTGGCAACTCGCGGGGGCCTCCCATACCATCTTGTCGGCTCTTGCGAATCGACGCTGATCGACGCTAAATCGACGCTGATCGACGCTGCATCGACGCCACAACGACGCTAGCCGGCGCTACATCAGCGCTAACCCTCGTCGGCTCCCAGACGCGAATCGACGCTGACCGACGCTGAAGACGGAATTGCGAGGGTACGCTGGGCTCCCATGATTAGAAAAAGAAAGCGGCAGAGTAAATATAAACTTTTGGCGCACCGCGCGGATTTCTTGGATCTGCGCTCGACCCCCTCGCTGGCGCGCGCAGGAGGCGCCGCTGAGGGGGGGCCCAGCGCGGATCCACGAAATCCCTTGGTGTGCCAACAAGTTTATGTTTGGAACATTTTCTTCGACGCCGGGCCCCCATGATTTGCTACCGAAGGAAGCCCGCCCCGCGCAAACTGCGCGCCCAGAGCTCCGACGTCGTGATTTTTTCCACGCGGGGCCCCCGGAAGTTTCGACCCCTTCCCCAGGGCCGGTGTTTCATCCCGAGCCGTGTCTTGACGGCCCTGGGGCCCAGCGAGGAGGCGAGGGCCGCTCGAGGTCCGAGGAGGAGGAGGAGGAGGAGGAGGAGGAGGAGGAGGAGGAGGGGGAGGAGGAGGATGAGCGAGGAGGAGGAGGAGGAGGAGGAGGAGGAGGAGGAGGAGGGAGAGGAGGATGAGGAGGAGGAGGAGGAGGAGGGGAGGGAGGGAGGAGGAGGAGGAGGAGGAGAAGAGGAGGAGGAGGAGGAGGGGGAGGAGGGAGGGGGGGAGGGGGGGAGGGAGGGAGGGGGGGGGGAGGGAGGGAGGGAGGGAGGGAGGGAGGGAGGAGGAGGAGCGTGAGCATTACCAAAGACGATGTCTTGAAGAGAAGCCCTCTCCCCTGCTCAGAAGACGGACGAAGCGAGGAAGCCCCACAGCGCGAACAATGCGAAACACATGAAATGACAAACTGAGAATCCGTCGCGATGTCAACTGGAACTGTGAAAAAGCCACTGCGCACCCAGGCCCGGAATGCACAGCTTGGCAGAGCTGACAGGATTGTGACTTCACCATTATTGCAGGTCCCTCGATACACAACACTAACTGCCAGACAAAACCATACCCACTGAATGCTGTGAGACGCCGCGCCCGACGGCTGCCGAACAAGAAAGAAGACGGTGAGCATGACAGTACTTTGAACACTCCATTGGTGAACAATACGCACCAGAACTGACAGCCCACCACAGAATTGAGAAAATTGGGCTCCAACCGCCAGAGATACAACATACCCTCCTCATGCGGAGATGGGGGATGCCAACATGGTAGCTGATGACGCCCGGGCACCGACACTTTCGCCCCGCCCTTAGCTGACCCACGTCCCGTCGGAAATTCCGTAGCTGCGGGTAGCCCCAAGCACGCCGCGAGGAGGCGACAAGGCAGGACCCATGGCGCGTTTGAGCCAAAAGGGATCAATGCGCCATGGAGGAGGAGAAAGAGGAGGAGGAGGAGGAGGAGGAGGAGGAGGAGGAGGAGGAGGAAGAGGAGGAGGAAGACGAGGATGAGGAGGAGGGGGAGGGGGAGGAGGAAAAGGAGGAGGAGAGAAGGAGGAGAAGGAGGAGAAGCAGGAGAACCAGGAGGAGGAGGAGGAGGAGGAGGAGGAGGAGAGGAGGAGGAGGAGGAGGAGTCGAGAGAATGCGCGGGCGGTCTGGGCAAAAGCCGCGGCGCCGGGGCCGCGCGAGGGCGCCCGCGGCCTGCGCGGCCTCGGCGGCCTCGGCGGCCCGCGGCCGCGGCGCGCCGCCCGGGCGCGGGGCGCCGCCCGGGAGGCCGTCGAGCCACAGCGCGCCGGGCACCAGGGCCGCCGCGGAGGTGAGGGGCACCGTTTGGGGGGGCCCAGACCCCCTCGAGCTATGAAAAAAACACGGCGGGAGGTTTTTCATGATTTTTGGACTCTGGGGGCCCTTACTGGCCCTCGGGACCGTCAAAAAACGTGTCAGGAGGAAAACTGGTCCCTGGGAATGGGTCCTGACCGCTAGGGGTCGACGCCATGAAAAAAACATGACGTCGAAAAAAATCAAGACGCAGGTTTTTCGCCGTTTTCGGCCTCTAGAGGCCCTCGCTGGGCCTCAGGACCGTCAGGAAACAACTCAAGACGAAAGACCGCGCCTGGGGAATGGGTCGAGACTTCCGGGGGAGGTCGGGGTTTTATCTCCGCCCCCTCAAACAAGGCTCGCGTAAGGGTTTTCGAGGCGTGGGACTCCCGTGGACTGGACGTCCTCTTCGTCTTCTTCTTCCTCCTCCTCCGTTTGGGGTGGGGGCAAAACATCGCGACGAGATGTTTTGTTTTTGTTTGTTTGTCGCTATCTTCGGCCCCTATGGGGGCCCCTACCTGCCCTCGGGGTCGGCGAGAAACGGCGCAGGGTGAAGAAGTGGTCCAGGAGGTGAGGGGCACCGTTCGGGGATCACAGGCTCTCTCGGCGACGAGTTTTTTGAGAGTTGCCCGCGCCTCTCCCCCTTTTTGACGCTGGCCAGGCTCTGAGCAAGCATCGATGCTCGCAGCGTTGTACTCCTCCCTCCTCCTTCTTCTCCTCCTCCTTCTCGTCCTCCCTCCTCCACCTCAACCTCCCCCCCATCCTCCTCCTCCTCCTCCTCCTCCTCCTCCTCCTCCTCCTCCTCCTCGTCCTCCTCGCTGCTGCTCCTCGCTCCTGTGAGGAGCCGCTGGCGTCCCCCACACCGGACGGGGCGGCCCTCGGCGGCTGGCGAGGTCTACAGCTATGGAGGAAGCAGCCTGTGCATACGGTGGGGGCATTGGACATGGAACCCTTAGAGAAGGAATCCAGGGTCTGGAAGCCAGTGGCATTCCACTCGTGAATCGGCCATTGATGTCACCGCCGCCCTAATAAGATAACGAACCCTCCAGGGTCTGAAGCCTCCTGGGCACGTTCCTCAATGAGCGCCCCCACCGTATGTCTTGAAAGTGTGAAGCAAGCGCGGGCCACAGCAACACCCGTGCGGCCGCGCGCGCCTGGCCACGCAGCACACGCACCGGACCACACAAACACCCAACGGGCCACACAAACACGTGGTCGCCCAGCTCGGGTGTGTGTGTGTAATGGAGCCGAAATCAGCGACGCGTCGCCGATCTTGGCTGCCCCGATACGCAGCACGCGACACGCAGCATGTCGGCGCGGAGCTCAACACGCAGACTGAACATCTGGCGCGATACGTCCGCCAAGGCGTGGGCGAAGACGTGCCGAGCCAACACGCCGCGTGTCGACACGGACGTTTTGAGCACGGTGCGTGCTGCGATTCAAGACGGGCGTATCAGGGCAGCGACGTCGCCGATGGATCGGCGATAGGCCCCCGAGAGCAAATCGGCACTCTCCGGGGCAGGGTGGGCCTATGAAGGGCCCCAGCCTCGGGGGCGCGCCAACATGGACTAGCGATCTATGGACTTGGCGCGCGCTCGCCACATCCATCGATCGGGGCAGGTGCCCTCCCCCCAAATGCGGCCGGTGCCGCCTCGCTCGGCGGCGGAAAACTCCGCGCAGCTCTCATGGGAACGGGGCCCGTCGCCAACTGATCCATCCACGCCCCCGTGATCCAGGTGGTCCATGCCGTCGCCTGGCACATGCATCGGCAAAGGGAGGGACGAACGCTGGCCGATGCGCCCCCCCCCAACGAGCCTGCCCTGCCCCCCCCTAACGCTGCCCCCCTAACGACCCAGACCCCCGACGTCATGAATTTTTCATGACGTCGACCCCCAGCGGTCTGGACCCTTTCCCCGGGACCGGTTCTTCGTCCTGAGTTGTTTTTTGACGGTCCCGAGGGCCGGTAAGGGCCCCCAGAGGCCAAAAATAATGAAAAACCTCCCGTCGTGATTTTTTCATAACTCGAGGGGGTCTGGGGAGCCTGCCCTGCCCCCCCCCCCTAACGCTGCCCCTGCGGACGGGCACCTGGCGCGCCTCGCCCTGGCGCCGCGCCCGCGGCGCCGCCGCATCGGCGGCCGCCGTGCCCGCGGCCGCCGCCTACCGCGCCGGGGGCGCGCCGGCGCCCCGCGGAGGTCCGGGCGCCGCCTGCCGCATGCCGCACGCGGGCGGCCTCGCCCGCGCGGGGGGCCGCGGCCGGGGCCACGCGGAGATCCCAGAGGTCCACCGCACGGGAAAGGTCGAGGCCCCAGACCCCCTCGGGTCGTGGCAAAAATCACGGCGGGAGGTGTTTCTAGATTTACGGCTCCAGGGGCCCTTATACCGGCCCTCGGGGCCGTCAAAAAACGACTCGGGATGCGGAACTGGTCCCGGCGAATAGGTCCGGACCTCTGGGGGTCGCGTAATGAAAAAATCATGACGTCGGGGGTCTGGGACGGAGGTCTGTCGCCCTTCTCGGCCTCTATAGATCTGGGTGGCCCAAGAGGGGGTCCAGCTGCAAGGGGGTGGTGCAACAGATTTGAGGCAATGGTCTTGCAAATGTATTGCGCCAAAGAATTGTATTGCATTGCAGTGCAAGTAATGTATTGCGCGCGAAAGCCCAGCAATACATCTGCGCCCCGAAATGTATTGCACACCCCTAATGTATTGCAACCCCACAAATCTATTGCACCAACTCTGTTGCACCACCCCCTTGTCGCTGGACCCCCGGGTCAACCCGAATAGAAGCCCTCGCCGGGC